AGCCGCCGGGGGGAACCGCCGGCGAGTGCAGCCGCAGGGCGCCGCAGCCGCCGCCTCCTCCCCCGCCGCCGCTCCCTCTTGTCGCCGCTGCCGCCCATGGCTTCCCGCTGCCCCCGCTGACCGGCCGCCCCTCGCCTCCTCCCGAGCCGGGCCGGGCCGGGGCCGGGCAGAGAAGATGGGGAACACCACGTCCTGCTGCGTCTCCTCCAGCCCCAAGCTGCGCCGGAATGCCCACTCTCGGCTGGAGTCCTACCGCCCCGAGGCCGAGCTGAGCCGGGAGGACACGGGCTGCAACCTGCAGCACATCAGCGACCGGGAGAACATCGACGGTGAGCGCGGGCGGGCGCCCCGGGGAGCCCCCGCATCCCTTCCCATCCCCTCCCCTGCGCTCCCTGCGGCGCGCACGGCTCTGCCCCGGGGCTCCCCCGCGGGCGGGGCCGGCCCGGCCGGTCCCGCTGCCCCGGCATCGTGTCGGTGCTGGTCCCCGTGCCCGCCCCCGCGGCGCTCGCGGGGATGCCGCGGTACATTCCGTCTCCAGAGCTGCTCCTATCCCCGGGAGAGCTGTGCCGGACCCTTCTGGCGGGGGCTGGCAGCATCCTTGCGCCGCGCCGCATCCTCTGGCAGGGTGCAGTTTTCCATTCCCAGGTCAGGGCTGCCGAGACCCTTCGCCCTTCAGAGTGTGGTGAGGTGACATTACGGGCACCTTCGGCGGGCTGGGACACTCGGGGCTCGGCTCTGGCCCAGGGGAGCGTCCCTCGCCCTTGGCAGGGCTGGCGGTGCCGAGATCACGTCACCTGCCGGGATGTCACCTGCCAGGCCTCTGCAGGGGGGAGCGTTTAAAGGACAAACCTGCCAGCGATAAAAGTGGGAGAAATGTTTCCCATGACAACCTTCTCTTCCAGTGACTTTTTCTTCCGTTACTGTCATGATGAGGCGCAGTGCTCATCATGAATCCTGCCTTGCCCTCTCTTTCTCCGCAGCGATGTTAAAAAAGCCGTGTTCTGTTGGTTTAGTCGTGACTGAATGTGGTGCCGTTCACGCTGGCCAGAATACAGCTTTATTTTAAAGATGTGGGTTGAGTTAATGTATACGTGTAATTTAGTTTTTCATTAGCTGAAGTATTTAGTCCTAAAACTTTACTTGCTAAGAGGTCAGCTATCTCATGGGTTTGTTCACATGAACTGCTTTTGGTAGAAAGCCAGAAAGAAGGACTTTGGTGCCCTTCAGTTTGCCTTCCACATTTTTTTCACAACTTACTAGATCGTTATTTTAATGCAGAATTCAATGTTCAATCACTTCTTCACACTGGTAAAGTTATGGAGCCTGTGGAAGCATATAGGTACCCTCACTGGTTTCTTTCAGTGACTTTCTAGATACAGGAATGTTTTTCAGATGTCTTTGCTGCATGCAGCTGAAAAATTGAATGTAACAGGATCAGTAGGCAGAAAAAAATACATAATGGTCTGATCTGAGAAAGCCAGGGAAATGAAAGAACCAATTGTTGATCTGTGAATGATTAATTCTTCCAGCATCAGTGCTGTACAGTGTAGCAGGATGCAGCTCTCTCTGATGGTACGGATTTCTCCATCTATAACAACACAGGCTGCAGTAAGTTTTTGGTCAGAGAGAGACGTGTGGGTTTTATGCCTTGTTCTCAGTGTGCTCTTTTTTTTTTAAGCATGAGATGATAGGCTTTAAGTACTTGTTAAAATGTGCCTACAATGCAGATAAATTCCTGCATCCTAGTAGTTATTTGCAAAAATATCCAGATCTTTATTGGTTGGTTGTTTCATTTGTTGGGTCAAGGTACATGCGTGTTCTGTCTTCTCCTTTTAACAGTGGCATGTGTCAAGTGTAGAGTTGTAACCTGTTGTTAGAACACAGAAACAACCTCATATGTTATTTATTTTTATGTTTTGTTGGTTTTCATCTGGGGCCATTGTCACTACAATGCCACAGTTTCAAATGGGCAGGCTGTCTTAAAATTTGAAAACGAACAGTTATGTGTTTCCTTTTTCTGCTTTGTTCTACTCCTGACCCGTTTTATGGATAGAGTCTGAGAAGCAAGTTTTCACTGTGGAGAATGATGGGTAATAGATGTCTGCACATTTAAAACAACTGGATAGACTTGGGTAAAACAACTTTCTAAAGTGTGCTTTGTTGCAGGCCTGTTACCCAGGAGTCAGGCTCACTGACAGTCTCTTGGTTATAGATGATGACTGAGCATTAAATGTAATAGGATGATTCCTTGTTTCTGAAATTTTATTTTGTATTAGAGTAGCTATTATGTTTTCGTTGTTAGATTGTTTGAAGTTGTATGGCATACAGACGTTTATGCATGAGACACTGAGGTGGGAAAACCCATTCACAGTAGAGAACTCTGATGATATATTTACCATTTTAGAATGAAAGAACAATAGACTGGTTATCAGTGTTGTGAAGAGAGAATGCTGGATGTTTATTCCTTAGTGTTCTTTCAAGTCATAAGGTTTCTCAGATTGGTAGTGTTACCAAATGTGCTTTTAAAAAAAACAACCTAAATAAATGATGACAAAGACTAATGCACTGAAAGGAAATTTTTTTGACACTTAAAACTTATTCCTCACTGTTCTTCAAGTGAGAGGCCTTCCATCCTGCTTGGGTATATCTGTCAGTGACAGGTCTCAAAGTGCAAATTCATGTCTCTAACAAGCATTTACTTTGTCACTGGTACTTTTAGGAACTGTAAAAATCATGTCCTGTAGTGTCTTAGCTACTGTGTTTTGTGTGGAAGTTGTTTTCATGCTTGTATTGATGGAAATTCAGGAAACATTTTATTTTTTGAAGTGGGTAAAGCTGCTTGAATAAATCAAGAACTTTTAGAACCTTTAAATCAGTTGTGGGCTATTTTAAGCTTTTAAGAGATGCGTGGTTTTCACTGTTGCAGGCCCTGTTTCTGGCAGTATGAGAGGGAGAAAGAAAAAGGGAGGAATGTCAAATCTTAGGGGGATTTAACTGGAAATTTTAGTACTAGTGGAACTGTTTGACGTCTGCCTGTCTTATGTACTTCATAAGGAAATACTCATTAAATCTGCCTCCAAAATCGTGCTTTTGAATTCTCTAATTCAAGTTCCATACCCAGTTCACAAGTAGTTTTTCAAAGAATAGGTGGAGAAATTATTTTCCAGTAGGAATTGGAAAATACCAACAAAATACCTTTACATCACTGGTACTTTGCTAGACAAATCTCAATTTCTGTAATATTTAACAACTGTTTATACATTGGTATCTGAAAGAGAAGGGGAATTTTGAAAAAGTTTTGATGAACAGGAATTTATCAAGAGACTTATTCTGGAGAATAGTAAAGTTGAATTTACCTCTCTTCCTCTTTTTTCTTCCCCTCAAATTTCTAAGAAGGTAGTGAACTTCTACAAAAGTCCACACATGCAAAATTGCCTCTCTGAATATTGTGCAGTCATCAGAATGCTTTTTTTGTTTGTTTGTTTCTGAATGCTTATTTTGTTTATTTTATTGTTAGTTTGTACAGGCCCATGATAATGAAGAGCACCTAACAAATTTTCAATGTTTTTCTCTTTTGAGGAAGAGCAAGAGGGTAACTGTAACATACAGAGGTTAGCTTCTGTTTTTGATGATTTGTTGCTTAGGGTGAGCTTCCACATTTTTCAGTGCTTCGCATTTAGAAGTTTACTTTAAGAAAATTGTGGCAGTGGATTCAAAACTTACAGATTCCTACATCTATCTGTTTGCCATCAAGACCTTTTTTTACAGCAGTTAATGGCAACCATAAGTAAAAATGGTTGAGACCTTTATGTGCCAGATTCTCTATCTTTTTGGATGCAAACTTTTGCCTGTGCAAGCCTTGTAAGCACTTTGATGTATGCATTATGTAAGTGTGCAATGAAATTGGCCAAAAGGCTGTTCTTGAAGCAGACTAGATGGAGAGTTCCTATGCTATTTCAGGAAAAGACGGTTCTTAATGATCAGCTCCTCCCCTTTTCATCCCTTCACCCCACAAAAATCAGATTTATTTTTCCCCTCTTTGTAAACTTCTTCTAATGTCACTAGGTCCTGCATTGCTAGCTCAGGTAATGTCCTGTGCAACTGTGCATCACTGATAAACCTTTTCAGCCCTTTTCATGATGGGTCAAACATGTTAATTTTTTTGCTGCATATTGCATAGGCTCCTGAGAATGGATTGCTTTTAAAAAGCCATTTATTTGTTCATTTACGGTTTTTTTTCCCTCCATCTTCTTCTAACTGGCATAAGAGAGTCTCTGACATGGGATTAGTTAGTGTTTGTGTATTTCTTGTCCGTTGGGTTTTATAGGAATTACAAGATTTTAGCAAAATAGAAGGAAGTTTTAAAATGTCTGCCCCATATACCTAATGGAATTTTGCTGAAAGGGAATACTGGTGTTTTCAAGAGCTAGGACATGATGGGTCGCACATTGTGAAGGAACTGACCTACTTCACAAAAGTCAAGACAAAAGACAAGCATTTCAGAAGCAAATTAAACATCTAGTGTGCTGCACACAGACATTACTGCTAAAACACGGATTGTAAAAGGATAGTCCTTCTTTCAAAACAAAGTCTATTTGGTTTACAGAAAATTCTCTTTCAAAAAATGTTCCCATTCCCTTAGCCAGAACTCTAGCACAGAGGTGGTCTACGTGTTTCTCAGTACTACTGTTAAATATTTGGCATTTGGCATTATCTACCTAAGCATTTGTCAGAGGTCATGTATCAAGGTACCCCTGTATTCTGATGCATCAAAAAATTAAAAATTGAGCCTGCTGTGGCCTACATCAGTGAACCTAGGCCTATATTGCATCTTGCTAACAATGTCTCCTGCACAGCTTTCTTTTTTCTTCTGTTATCAGCCTCATCTGGTTATTCTGTCTTTGCCCTGCTTCTCCTAAGAGACACCATCGTGTTGTACAAGGCCTTCCTAAAACCTCATTTTTACGTTGTTCACATCAAACCCATAAATTTACACCTTGTATGAAGTCAGTATTTTCATATTTAGCTGCAGAAACTTTCAGAGGGGGACATACTAAGACTAGTCATACCTGAATTTACCTCTAAGAAATTTTATTAGTGCACTGCCATCTGATTAATATTTTCTTTGCAAGTGAGTTATACACTCTTGGGTGGGTAAATTGGTACTTGAAACAGAAGGACAACACTTAAAATTATAGATCTCAGAAAATGGAAGGACTACAGTATTTTGAGTTGTTTTGGACGTTTTTGGATGTATAGTTGGATTGTTTTCCCTTGAGTTTTGTAATAAGAATAATGGATTTAAAATGAATGAAAACCTCTTCACTGTGTGGTCATAGCTGATTTACCTAATTTTGTATGCTTACTGAAGGTTTTTCAGACTTCCAGGGTATGTTTACTGCATCTTCAGGCCTTGCTCAGGTCAGATGATAGAAAAGCCAGTCCTGGTGGGACACCATGCCTCAGCTGACTGCAGTTGTGAATGCTTTTTCTATCTGCTCTCTGCTACATATCCTGAGACTTGAAGGGGAATAAGTGAGCAGTGTCTAGCACTACCTGATAGCTGGCCTTGTCCTTGTCCTGCCAGCCAGCTGCATGTCACACATAGTCTAAATATCTTCATTGTTTAACATCTCTGCAAGGATATGAAATACACTTTGCAAACTGAAAGCATATTCTCTGGGCTTTCCATGTAGAAATGAATTGACAATACTTTTGCTTCTTTTCCATTCGTTTGAACTTGGATAAACAGAACTTTTAAAATTTATTAATTTTCTATGTGCATTCTGATATATGGAATGATCTTTTTCACTTCATCTTGCAGAATATTTAATATATGTGCCATACCTCTCTGAAATGCATGTGAAGAGCTAGTAAGCATTAATAAATCTTTTAAATCTAGAGCTATGGATGGACTAGATGGACTATTCTAAGCAGTATGCATAGGTAGTGCCTTCACTGGAGCAGCTACTACTTCCTCTCTACCTTCTGTACGAAGAACGGACAGTTTGTAAAGAGTTTCGTCTCCTTGTAAACCAACTTTAAAAGCAAATATTCCAGAATTGCTGAAATTGACTGTTGGGATGTTCCTTTCCATAGCTGAAACCTTTTGCAGAAGTTGACCAAAGTTCAGAGGTGGTTTTACTGAGCTCATCTTAAACTTGCTTTTGTTGCTGATTTTGTAGGTCCCACGTGCCACCAAAACCCATCCCCTCAGCCAGTGCAGTAGGAGCATCACCAGCTCCTATGCTTCTTCTGGGAGGACTGTTTTTAAATTTGGAGTGCTCAGTAGTCTGAAACTGTGTGGAAAAAACCCTTAATCTTCAGCCCAAAGCTTCTACTTCTAATGCTTAACTAGTATGGAGCTGGCTAAAGAGCTGTGGTTGGCATTAATGGAAAATTACTAATGAAAACCAGTTGGAGAATTTCCACAAAATCCTGGTTTCCCCCCTTCTGTTTAAATTGGTTTGTTTGCTTTCTCATCATGCCTATAAGATTTTGGGCCTGCAAATTGGAAAGGATTTTTTAGATCATTCAGCTAAGACAAGATTCTCGGATTGTCAAGATTCACATTTTCCATGAATTTGTGTTAGAATCATAGAATATTCTGGGTTGCAAAAGGCCCACAAGGATCATTGAAGTGCAACTCCTATTTATTTACTTCTTTCTTTATTTCTTTGGAAATTAATATTGATTCTTTTAAGTCAGGCTAATGCTGTAACCATGTTGCTGAAATACCTTTGATATACCTTCAATAGGTGCACTGCAGAACTTGTGCCCTCCTCCTGTAGCTTATGGTGGTTTGAACAAAATATATCAATAAAATCAGTGGTTTTGGTGCTGTGAGTGGCACTTTATTACTGTCTTTGTTGGTGTGAAAATGTTGCAGAAAAGTGCAATAGCTGAATGCTCAGACAATGTTATGAATAGAGTTAATCTCTAGATTAAAAGCGAATTTTCGTCCCACCTTGTGTAACATTTCCCATGCTATTTTCTACTGTGATTCTTAGAGGGATATCACTGTGATATCCTTCTCTCTACAATAAGAAGAGTCAGCCTTCAACTACTGACTTGTAACTTTCTTTTAAATAAAACTCCACCCAGCCTTAATTTAAAAAGTTGTATGTCAGACTTTTTGCTTGATTATTTTTTTTGTCTGCGAAATGATTCTTATACAGCTGTGGCTGAGATCCAGAAGATATCAGATGGGAAGTGAAAGTATTTACTTTCAACAGTATTGAAACCAATATGAAATCGTGTTGAAATTTTAAAAGATTCTTTTCTTTGCTGTGTTGGTATTTCATTAAGAGTGGGAATTGATGAGTTATTCCTGCATCTGAAAGTCGGATTGTAAGGAGACAAAACTTACAGAAGATACAGAGTACTCCAGGGCTTTGTCAAGTTAGGCTATACAAAGTGACAGGATAAAGGTGCAGTCTTAGTAGATGAAGATGCAAGACTTGATAGTACAGGAGTTCTTTTCTAGATTCAGAATTGGATCCTGAATTTAGAATCGCTGGCATGCTTAAAATTGTCTGTTTTGCAGTTTATCCTTGCACATCAGTATTCTGGGAAGAGGTAACTTTTTGTTGCCATGTTGATATTTCTTTTGTGACATCTTAAGGGATGCTCCCAACTGAAAAAGAAACTTATTACAATCTTTGTTCCTGGAAAAAATACGTTCATTTCAGATGTTGAAATGGGAAAGAAACGATGCTTAGTCAGCAAAGATGTTTTGCATTGCTATCCTACACTTTTTCACTTCTATGAAAGCTCTCTATGGAGGGGGTTATTTAGGAATTGTCAGTAGATAAGGCTGTGGATGTGAAATGATTGGCAGTAGTTATGCTTTTGTGCTATTTATCTAAAGTTCCATTTTACAGTTAATTATACAGTGGTTTCTTTATTCTCCTTCCTGACCTCCCTATGGAAGGACATTGCATTAGATTAGAAGATCCAAAGTTTGGGAATTGTAGCTGATCCTGAGCAAGCAGACCATGCTTCCCTGCTTTGACTAAAAGAAACTTTCAGGCTATGGTCAGTGAGCTTTACAAGCAGTAATTACATCTCTGAAGTACTTGGTGAGCTGTGTTGTGCTGTAAAGTGATGCAAGTGATCTAAAGACCTTGAAGAAGGTCTTTCAACATTTGAAATTAATGAGATCTCTTCATTCCTGGGCTCATACTAGGAGTTTTAGATCTCATCTGTTTTTCTAGCTTGAAAAAAGTTGTTATATATGCAATTTTCATTCAGTAAACTATAGCCTCTACTAATCTGGTGTGGGTTTTCCCCCACTTCCTCCTCTTCAAAGAATGCTGTTGGAATAACCAGTGTGAGATACAGGTCAGAAAAAGAAGTTGTTAGAACTGAGAACGTCCAGATAATCCTAGAAGAAATTTTGATTTCCAGACGGTTGGTTTGCTTTTTATAGAACTGCAATCTCCTGTGTGTTAGGGAGGTAGAACCACTGGGTTCTTGAGTTCTTCCCCTCTTCCCCTTTGTTTTGTATCACTGTATCATCATTTGCCTTACTTGCCTCCTGCCTGTGCTCAGCCCAACCTTCTACCCAGAGCACACAGACATCCTGTCCCTGGTCTCATCTCCTCTTACTGGACTCTTCTGTTTCACCATTATTTTGAGTGATGAGACGTGCACAACGAATTGGTTCTTTAGGAACCCAATTCTATTAGGAATTGGGCTCTTTAAAATCTCTTTTTATTCCTGTTTGTTTTGTTTTCTATTAATTTTGGAGAACTTTGAAGGACTAATTTTGTTTTTATTAAGTTTATGAAATATGTAAGTTTATTAAATATATAACTGAAATCAACAGAGTCAAAATTCATAATAATAAGTCCAGTGGCAGAATATTTTGCCTAAAAATTCTCAGCATTTTTCTGCTTTGTTTGTAGTTAGGGAAAAAAGAGTTTCAGATTTTATTAGAAAGAATTTTATTTCTAGTAGCTAGCAAAGTTTCAACTGCTGCTATAGGCAGAATCTTAAATCTGTTGGATCTCCAAACTCAGTAAAACCTGTTGAGGATGATCTTTAACGTGAAATTCTCTGCCCTATTCACTGCCAGTTTTAAAATAAGGATTGTAATTAAAACTTGACACAGTTGTTCATACATGTGGTTTGATATCCTAGTGTTTCCATTTTTAAATAGTAATCAATGATTGATTTATTTGCATTTGTAGCTAACAGTTCCTGGAAAGGTATTTTGCAATTAAGATACATTTCTGGTTAGTATTATGATATTTCGTGTTAAAATCATGTGCAGGAGAGTTCAAATTTCTGATGGTAAAATAAGCATCAAGGTAAAATCCAGTTTCACAAGTGAACAACAAGATATTCTGCATGTGCCTCTGCTCTGGGCTGTGTGTCAATCCCACCTGATGCCCCCTGAGAATGCACAGCTCTCAGTGGCACTTCCTGCTTGGAGCTGGTTGTTGTGACTATTCCTAGCTGGCAGAAATCCATATGCATTTATTCAGTCATTCAGTGGAGGTTGAAAGCATGTGAAGGGTTTGGAAGTGCAATTGTATTTTAAGCTTTCAAATCACACTTAGTGCAGCTAAATGTCCTCCTTTCCTTTAGGATAATTCACTTGGGATAAGTGTCTAGAATGCTGCATTCACAATATGCAGTTACTCTCTCTGTGTCAGATATAGAAATTGGAATTATAATTGTATGGAGGCTTTTCTGTACTTTTTAATGGGATTAGGTACAGGAAGGATTTCTGTAACTGAGATGGTCCTAAAGATCAAGTCTGTGATAAAAAGAATAAGACCTTTAACTGGTTGTTTCATGGAGAAAAACAACCCAATACTGCTTTTCAAAGCTAAAGGAAACAAAAAAATAATTTAGAATTCCATATATAAGCAGTGATGCAAATTCTAAATCTAGAAACTAGTTTCCTCTGGGCAAAAATGGGTATTTAAGTGAAGGGGACAGTGCCAAGTTAAATTGGACTGGAAATTAATGTTTTGTGAAAAATAAGCTCTCGACATTAAGCCACATTTCTTTAAAATATATTATGGCAAAGAATTATTTTTGTAACAGGTATTTGAGGCACAGTTCATGCAATCCAAACAATGAGGTTTTACATAAGAACCTGAACTTATATTGTACAACTGCTCTCATATTTTCTTATACCTGGTTGTGGGTTTTTTTGTTGCTTTTGTTTTTCTCCTTACTCTGTGTTTTAATTTTTGAATATAAATTTGCAGTTCAAGAGCAGTGAATTATGTATGATTGTGGGCAGGAAAGGAGAAAAGAAGTTAAGGAAGCACTTCTGTAGTTCTTTTGTCTCTGATTTTGTGTTGATTATCTCAAATTTGGCTCCCATGGATATTCCAATATATTTGTTAATGTAGGGATTGAGCAAGTGTACTCATACTGACTCTACAGGGTGGTTATTCCAGTGAGGAATGGTGCTGGCACTGCCTGCTGCCAGGTGTTTGTTCTGCAGAGGAGGTGCTGGCAGTGGGTGATCCACTGCAAAGCCATGGCCATGGCCCCTGTGCCCGAGTGTCCTGGTGGCTCTGGTACCAGCCTGCTGGATAGCTGATGCAAATCCAGTGTGTAATTTGTCCTTGGCATGTCTGTGAGCTTCAGGAAGTTCCAGAAGTGAAGGCTAAGCCTCCAGGCTTTGGTAGAAGAGCAGTTAGATAGCAGATTCTGCCCCAAATGATTTTATTTTTGTGTGTGTGGTTGTGTGTGGTCTTGAATGAAAACTTTGTTCTTAAGGTCTTAAATTTAACAAATGTATTGGAATATAATATTTTTAAAGTAAGAATTTTATTGGTTTTTGTCGTGCTGCTAGTACAATGGTAAAAGCACCTTTGAGCTGAAAGATAAATACATTCCTTTTTCATCCTTCTTCCAATGATTTTTTGATGATCCTTCCATCCTTGTTTATTTACCAAGACTGTCTGATTTTTATCTCCGTTCCCCTCTTCCCCTTTGTTTCCTATCACTGTCATAATTTGTCTTACTTGCCTCCTGCCTGTGCTCAGCCCAGCCTTTTACCCACAGCACACAGACCTCCCGTCCCTGGTCTCATCTCCTTTTGCTTTGACCCCTTCTGTTTCACAGCTCTTTTTGAGTGATGAGAAGTGCACAACAATTACAGTTTGTTCTAGAGCAGGGTCAGTGAAGATTCCAGGGTGCTATCATGACTGTCAGCATTGATTTCAAAGCCCTGTATTATCTTACGTCATGTTTTCATTTCAACATTTGCTGCACATTCCTACTTTCCTCCCTCTCCTGCATGTTTTACAGACAAGCAAATAGTCCTTGTTCTCTTGGATTTGTGATGGTTATCTACAAATTGGTAAGATTTCTGTATTTCTGCTTTGTGTCTTTGGACTTTCAAGTGCATTT